CGGATCTTGGCGGCCTCGTCGAGGGTCATGCCGCGGACCAACTCGGTCAGGTAGCTGGAGCTGGCGATGGCACTGCCGCAGCCGAAGGTCTTGAACTTGACGTCGCTGATCACGTTGGTGTCCTTGTCGACGCGGATCTGGAGCTTCATCACGTCACCGCAGGCCGGGGCACCGACGAGACCCGTGCCGACGTCGACGCTCTTGGCCATGGAGCCCACGTTGCGGGGGTTGGAGTAGTGGTCGAGGACCTTCTCGTGGTAGCCCCGGCGCTGCTGCTGGAGAGGAGACGGGGCGGACGCCGCCCGCAGGCTCGAGATCTGGGTCTGCTGCACGCCGGCGACGGCGGGGGCGAGGATGCGAGGCGAGAGAGCGCCCGCGGAGCGGGGAGCGACCGTTACGAGACGGCGGAACATTGTGGGTGGTTATGTGAAAGAGGCGAGGAAAAAAGAAGAGAAAGGGGTATCGTGCAATAGGCTGTTAGGAAGATATGGTAATGGTTTTGAGCAACAGAAGTGATGGTCGTTGATGAGATTGGGAGAAGAAAGGGTTGATGAATTGGACGGCGAGGTGTGTGATGAAAGATTGATAGTCGATGATTGATTTGATGGAGGGAGGGAAAGTTGAACTACTAGCTTAGTCCGTCCGTCTTATTCACCGGCGCTAATCCCTTTCCAGAAACCCCGTTGCCTCCGCGGACCGGCTTCGGAGATACGAGGAAATGCGGTCTTCGGAATGACGTTCGCTCCCCCTTTGCTGCAGCTAAGAAATAAGTACAGGAAGTGCAGTACAGGGAGATTGAGTGAGTGAGTGACTGACTGACTGTTGATTCGTATTGTTGAACCCCTTTCTTATCGCGGCGTTGCTGCGACTGGATTGCATTCGTACCAAATAGTGTATAGTGTCTAGTTACTGTACAGTTCAAGTGCCCGCGGGAAGAACAGTTCGTTCTAGTCTGGTTCTGGTATGGCGGGCACTTCGGCCAACGGGAACGGTCTGCAGGCGGCATTACCAAGCACTCAAGGTCTCGTCCCCCGGTTCTCGTCCTGGCCTTCATCTGATAATTTTGCCCACTGCTTTCCAGTTTCCAGTTTCCACTTCCCACCTCCGCCCTCTGTTTGTCTACGTCTACCTCGGAACAACCCTGGCCCCGGCTACTATTCCCCCGAAAGCCTGTCCACACTAACAACAAATCGTGGCCGCTGAACAGGCTACGTGCCTGGTCTTACAGTTGACTATCAAAACACCCACCCTTCCTATAAGCATTTCAAAATAATGGCCGGAAAGACACTAGGCCGATCGTCGGGGGTAAGTTGACAGGCGTGTACGGAGTAGTCTAGTCATTATACTCGTACTTTTTTATTCCCCCTCTGGTCTCCTTACTCCATACTTCCCTCTTGTATGAGAATGACTAATCTACCACCACCACCACAACAACATCAATCCTATCTGACCATGTATCGAATCTCCAGTCCCTCAACGCCCCCATAGCCGCCTTCACCATGGCAGTCATCCTCTGCTCTTACTGCATCAGTTCCATCCATACTGCCCGTCGCGAAGCACAGTCCTCTCCCCCCATCACTAGTACCACCAATCCCCGTCCCAAGCGGGCGGACCTTCAACAATCCTGGGTCCAGCAGGCTTTGGAGGAAAGCCGGGGCGGCAAGGACTCTTGATTCGCGCGCATGAAATTCAATTGCTCGATATTCGAAATCTTACTGGAGAAGAGAAGAGCTACAGGCTACAGCTGGCTAGTATGCCTTGGATGGGTCTTGTTCTGTAGATAAAGTTGTACTTTTGCATTATTGTGTCCCTATGTGAACAGAAGAGATATATATCCTCCAGGCCGATCAGCCTTGCATGAGTAAACAGAAGCTGTGTATTTGGGGCCGGGCCCAAAGACAACTAACAGTAAACAGCTTCCACCATCAGGAATGATTGGCAGAATCGCATCAGGCCAAGCCCAACCGACGCCCCGAGGCAGAATATCCATGAGTCAGAATTTTCAGTGTATGAATAGTCATATCCCAGGCCTTATGAAGACTACCAGGATCTACCATTTGAAAAATGTTCATCATATCGATGGATAAGTGTGCTGGAGGATGAGGGAGGCCTGGATGGTCGCTGCGACCTGACGTCTGGGAAACCGAGTCATTCTGATGAGGCCTTCATCGAGGCCTATTGGATGCTTGGGGATAATAGCATCATGATGGTCATTCCAGATTCGATGCTAAGGAGTGGCGCGCGGTCACTCCATGGTGAAGCATTCCGGATCAGAGTGTGGCGATCGACACCTCCGTTGAAGCGCTTGCCTCCATCATGGCAGTCTGGCTCAACAGAGTAACCTGAGCAAGGATGCGAGCATTGAAGAGAGGGAAAACTTTTCGAAAAGTCGCAGCGGGATATTTTAGTGTGTGTATCACGTGACCGCACCGCTTACAGGAAATAGCATCTTATTGGCTGGCTGGTTGACGATATTCGATTCAAGCATTGCGCTACACTGCGTGGCCTAGTACTTAGGTCCTTGAAGGTTAACCCAAGGAGCTGATATTGGCACAAGTGGAGAGGCTAACTACCATCTAGTATAGGGTTGGAAAGAATAGAAGAATACGACAGAGAGGAAAGTGTTGTAGGACAGACTATATACAATTGCATTGATGACTTATTCTGTTCATGAAAGGGAAGACGCTCAATACCACAAAATGGCGAACCACAAGAACAGGAAACAATCAAAGCTTCACATGTCAGGGCCTGTCACTTTACCCCGGCACCACCATTGATACAAGGCCGAGGTATCATCCATAGAACAATGTGTAATGTGTAAGCAGACCAATAAAAGAGCCTTGAATCTCTTCAATCATCAACGGCCTGACAAGCGGCAAGCAGCAAACACGATTATCCCTCCGTTGCATGTCCCCGTAACAATAATTTAATGATCTAGTAATTTATAGCGCATCAGAAGAGTCGCTGGCTTTGCCCTCTTGCACTTCCAGCTTCAGCTTTCCTTCATGTTGTATATGCGAAATGGCCTTCCGGAGGTATTCATAGGTAAGCATGGTAGTCATCGCAGCCGGTACAGCACGGAACAAATTCGTGCCGATTCCAGAGTAGAATGCACGCCAGCCTTCTTCCCTGAGAATCGTCTGGCAAGTGCGGATAATTCCCGTGTATCGCGGCCGATTGGGCATTCCGTCCGAGGAAGCCGCGCCTGGAGGGCGACCACGATCCGGAGGATGGTCCAATCCACCTCGGAACGCTATTTCCTCTGGGGAGGATGCTGGAGACGTCCGCTGCTGAGTCTGAAGTCTCGTCCGAAGCACTTCGTGTGGATAGGTGACGGTGCTAGCGCAGACCTTGCTGAGAAAAGTGGCGGCAGTGATTCCGATCCAGTGAGAACTGCCGTTGTCAGGATGCTCCCCGATCCCATATCCCGTGAAAGCCATCTTCAAGTATTCGTATAGGGGAAATTGAATGGCAACGTGCGTCAAGCCTAATAGCGCCGGCGTGAGTCCCGAATAAAATGAGCGAATCCCTTCAGTCCTGTACATCTTCCGAGCGGCATCCCAGGTGCTGTTATACTGCCACGGGGCCCGAAGCCCTTCACTGCTAGATTTAAGGCTTTGGGACATAAGTCGCGTCTTGATGACCCAGATTGGGTTCGTCGCAAGTGTAGAGCAGGCGCCAGCTGTTAGAGAAGCGTACCCTCTGGAGAGCCACCAGCTGTCTATTGAATAAAGTCAGCAGCGTCAATCAGTAGACATAGAGAACTCTCTTACCAGTAGTCTCGTAGAAATATTCCCGGGAACGATCGTAAACGGCCAGATAGACAGCCCACGTCGGAAGGTATCCCAGCAGCATGGGACCTAGTCCTTGATATAAACCTCGAATTCCATCTTCCCGCCAAATTACCCTTCCGGTACCAAGCATGCCCCGATACAGCTCCTTCGTTTCGACCGCCTTGCCGCGCCGTCGTGCGAATCCACCTTGAGCCTGCAGTTTGGTCTTTATCACATCCAAGGGACAGGTGACAATACCCGACGCTACACCCGCACTAGCTCCACAGAAGGGTGTAATCCAGACATCAGGTATGCGCGTGGAGATCATCTCGAGGCGATCAACGAAGGTCGAGTTCGTCAGCATGGGGGGCGGTGTATCAGGCGTAGAGGGTGATGCAGGACCCTGCTGCTCTTGAGAACCGCTGGCGGCATCCGAAGAGCCATGTCCTTCGGAATACATGTTCGCAGCCAGTGCGCAAGCAGTTATTGGTTCGTTTTATATGTCACCGAGGGTTCCCGGATCCGAGCATATCGGTGCTCGCTCCGGAACCCAGTATGATCCTTTATCAAATCGTGGTGGAATGCGGAAGAATGGCGTCGTTGGGAGCACGGGCGACGAGATAGCGACACTCAAAACTGATGAAAACGCTGATGACACCTCTTTCAGCCGAGGCTGGCCAGCGATTGCTTTGATGCGTTGCGAGGTTACCCTGTCGGGGGCACAGACGGGGGCGGGGTCTGGAAGATCGACTCAACGCTCCTATCGGAGGTCGGAATGGCAGAACCTTTCAAGTGAAAATATATTCAGCGAGTAATCCTCCCCATGCCTAGCGAGCAATGAAGATTCCAGGGCAATGAGCATAAAAGCCAGTAACTCAAGTGGGAGCAGGGAACTTGAAAGAAACGGAAAAGGACGGAGTCGTGTGGGCGAGATGAATTGAATTGCGTTAGTTAGCAGCAACGCTCGCTCTAAGTCAGGTGGAGTAAATCCACAATAGACCGGCACCAAGCGCCGTTAGCGCCTGAGGCATCGACAGTTCACCGGGCAGGGTGTCGACAGGGATGCTCGGGGAACCTATCACGTGAGACATATTATGGACAAAATCGGACAATTCGTGGTGCCTCAGGCCCAAATTCGGATGTTTTTGGGAAAGTTCACCCGCCGAACCTCCGTTTTGCACAATCTCCAACGTCGGGTCATCTCCTGCTAAGCTTGCCTTGACATCTCGCAGTCCTCCCCCGCCACACCACCTTGTCAATTGGACTTTCTCACGCCCGCTGCTGGGATCTATCACAATGTCCGCCCCTTCCATCACCAACTTCATTGTCAAGCGCCCATGGCTCAAGCGCTGGATGACGCCACTCGCCCAGTGGTACACCGACGCCGCCGGCTACAGAAGACTCGGTCTTAAGTAGGTGTCCTCGCCATTCAATCTGCTCAGACTGGCATTCGATGTTCTCGGTATACAGCGGTGAAAGACTCCGGAGGGTATATCATGAACTTCTCATGATGTTCTGTGTGAACCCTTGCTCATACCCGCATCGCTGCCTGCCCTGGACAAATCATCCTTCGCGTTTGCTTCCAAAGGCACCATGAACTGACCGGGCGTAGGGCCGACGACCTGATCCCCGAGGAGAGCGACGTTGTTCAGACTGCTCTGAAGCGTCTTCCTCCCAAGGAGGCCTACGACCGCATCTTCCGTATCCGCAGAGCATTCCAGGTTCGCCCTACCGAAGACCCCGATATCACAAAGAAGCAACAGGCTAACGAAGCTCGGAAACAGTGCTCCGTCTCTCACACCCTTCTCCCCCCTGCTGAGCAGACCAAGCCCGAGGAGGTGAGTCCAATCTGATCCCATGCCTTCCGAGTATAGGCCGTTCAGTTCTCCGCAAACCGTCTCGGCCAATCCCGTGAGCCGGATTTGTCACCTGGACGGAACTTGGAGAACGATGCACGGACAGGCTACATCTCTCTGTCCCGACCAATTCCCAACCATTCGACCACATATACTAATGATGACTACAGGATGTTGAGTACCTGAGCCCCATCATCCGCGAGATCGAGAAGGAGAAGAAGGAGCGTGAAGACCTCGACACCCTCGTCGTCCGCCGGTAATTGATTCATTAATTCGAGCCCTTTTGTTACCGGAATTAGACTATCGTCGTCAGGAATCGTGGACGGTCGGGATAGAAATGAGAAAAAGAGTTTATCTTGTCCGATTCAGCTGAGATGCTACCCACCACTGGCACCCAGCTAACGCTTCATCGAACCTTTTGATATGTCGCTCAACCACGTGTACTGATACTGTACAAATCCATCTGTCTTCGTCCATTGCTATGCTTCATTCCATTTTGCAATTTGCAGCTTGCAGTTTGCAATGACCGTAACCGTTTTCACAGCACTCCATGCCTCGAGTGTCATTCCTCTATATAACGACGTGGTCTACGTCATCAATGGAGAACTCAGGCTTATACACAAAATGCATGGGTTCTTTGGACTATGCTCGCCTTGCTATCCAAGATATCCTGTCACATCTAGGGGGCTAGCTAGCCCATAGGGTTGGCTGTATACAGTTCTATAGTCTCATATGCATCCCTCGGTGGTCTGCACGTGGACTGTGCAGACCAAGGGCCTTTATATCATCACTTACTCTCCCCAGACCTATGAGCTCATCACGGCGAGATTTACATCCGTCACTCGCCACATGTACCACATGAAGAGGCTCCTAGGATAGATGTAAGCAATGACGAGCGCCCATAGCACATAGCAGTTCCAATACGTACCTGTATGGGGCGTACTTGGCGGCCAACTCCAGCATATCTTTTTCAGCCATGTATTTAAACTTACCTCCACCTTTCCCCTTCAACTTGCTTACATCCTTTCCTGTAAACACGGCGCATCCTCTCCTGAGAAGAACTTATTTAGCGGACTACGATGGACGGTGGAGGCAACGAGGAAGAGGGTTGACGTACTGCACGCCCAGATCACCGGTCGAGAAGACGTCTATGCGCTTCAAGGCAAAGCAAGCAAACATCTCCACGGACCAGAGGCCCAAGCCCCTCACGGCCGTCAGCTTCTGGACCAGCTCCTCGTCCGTGGCGCTCAGCAGCATCCGCGCGCTCAACTCCCCGTCGGCGAATTTCCGCGACAGCCCCAGGATATACTCGGCCTTGCGCTGGGAGAGGCCCGCTGTCCGCAGCGTCTCGATCTCCATCCTGATGATGTCCTCCGGCGTCGGAAACCTGTCCGCATCCGTCCCGTGCTCTCCTGTAGTTGTGAACAATGCCACGAATTTATCACGGATCGACTTGGCCGCCGCACCAGATACCTGCTGTCCGATGATGCTCTGGACCAGGCTTCGGAAGGGGTCGATCTCTTCCGCCAGCCCCTCCGGGGTGAAGAGCGGGCACGGGTGGGCCTTGATGAGCGGTTCGAGTCGAGGGTCCGTCGCGATTAGATGGGCAGTTGCTTTCTCGAGGAGCGTCCCCGTCGTGGCGGTCGGCCGTGGTCGGCCGGTCTTGGTGGGCGACTCATTCTCCGTTCCTGGAGGGTAGGCGACGAGTGAGGAGCCGTGCGGGGTCAGGAGAGTTGCGTTGGTGCGGTGCGGCTCGACGGGTCGGTCGAGAGGAGGAGGAGGAGGAGGAGGAGGAGGAGGGGTGCTCGCCCTGTGATCATGATTACCAGGCACGGGGTCCCAGATGTTAGCAGGCGCTGCTGATCTGTTGTTCTCCGAGTCGGAGGGCGCTGTGGCGGATGAGGGTGTAGACTTGGCTGGGGTCGAGCTTGAAGGGGCAATCTGCTCTGGGGCCGTTGCATGCAGGGCTTTCTTGCCCCTGGCTGATGGTTTTCGTGCTTTGGAGACCTTGTTGCTCGGTTGGCGGCTGCGGCTGCTGCTGTTCCTGACTTGTGCGGTGGTGGTTGGCTGCAGCACTGGTACTTTGCCAGTGGGCAGTGCGCTCAGACGAGCGGAACGCCGTAACGCCATCATACCCGCAAGTGGTGGTATATAATCAATACTGGTACAGTGGTGCTTGTAAGAAGTTAGAGCGCGAATGCACATACTCTGACGGCGTCAGTCACTCGTTGCAGCGGTTACTCTTGGCGGAGTGACGTCGCGAGGGCGCAGGGGAGCAACGGAGGCCGATAAGCTGGGCCGCCGGGTCGAGAGCATCAACATACATGCTCACCATTGAGCATTATCACTCGTGGAGAATTGAAAGGACTGATTCTCTAGGTCGTTCAATGCTTTTCTGCTCCTATGCCGGCTATCAACCCCCATTCAACCTGTCGACTTCACAGTAATCGTTACAACAAAGGATAGCTAGTCGGTTCCACAAGAGATTCGCCGTGCGTGCTCACTACTGTAACTCGGTGCTGTCTCCTCTCCAGGTCTAGACATCTAAACTGGTTCAGCCATTCCACAGTCGCAATGTCTTCGGGATATGTCACTTGCTATGTGATCAATGGAGTTCTGCCCACACTGAACCAACTTCAGCTTACTGGTCCTTCTCCATGCCGATTACCCCTTTTCATTATGACCGCCTCCTTTATGATCGCTCCTTCTCTCGAGCGCATACATAGTTAGTCCTCACCGCTCTAACCCGAGATGGAACGGTCAAGAAGCATGGACAATTGCTGAATAGATTGCTTTTCTCCGTCGACAGCAGTGGACCACACAGAATATATGATCTACTCCATGGGAGTTCTTCCAGTGTGGAACTGAATCTGTGGACGGAAGACTCCGTTGCAAATCGCTGGAATGGGCCCGATTGGCTATGTCTCAAGCATTTGTCCGGCACTGGGATGTGGTTCACATGAAATAAGAAAACACTTTTTTTTTTGTTTGTTTTTTTTGCTTGCTGGCTGAGATTCTTCTTTGCATCCACTCACGGAGGGGATTGGAGGCAAAAATTGGTGGCGCATATCTGCCCAGGGAATTGGTTTTTGTGGCGGATGACTTTCGAAGGGGGCAGGTTTACAGTTGGACAGCCAATGAGGTAGGTTAATTACCATCAACCATTGGTAGGTAAGTAATCGGACCGTTACGATCGATACCGATAGCGTGGGATTGCGTCATCGATTGAGCGGACCATGGTCGTGGTACAAGTTGCACATCCACACGAAAAGAAGAAGAAAAAAGCAAAGTGGACCACTCTCTTAGTCGTTTGTATAACTCTGAGAAGGTCAACTGACTCTTTGTAGGAGGTAGGAGGTGATGGTATGCATCTCACATATGCGACTTACAGTACGTCTGTTTGTGTGGCAGAACGAGACAGTCTGCATGGGTATGGTATGCTTCCAATACCAAGTATGTTAGGGGCCAGAACGGCCGCGTTGGTCGCCGTTTGATGAAGGGAGGTCCCGAGGTCAGGACTTACATTGGGGTCCCAAAACCAACTAGTAGACAGCTAGAACACTCGAAAGAGCCTGATGTTCTATTAACCAGGTACTAGAAATGAAAGCGAAAGCTTTCCTCGGCTCATTAGGAGAAAATGAAGTATAAATCATAGCAACGGGCGGCATAAGGCTATGTGGTGATGAGGCCGCCGACATAGGAAATGGTAAGAGACAGACCTGCCTCTATGGTTAGTAGGCATTAGGATCTCAGCAATTGATCCAATCGCGTATGATTACTCCGTAGCATGCTTTCAATCGTAGTGCGATGCAAGAGCATGACTGCCAGTGGCGCACGCCGAGCGTTGACACCGAGACATCGGAGCGGGTGTTTGTATACAACGCATCAGTGATGATTGTGGACGTGTCCGGTAGAAGAGCTGCCATGATTCACGCCTGATACCTAGACGTCGTAGTTGACAAGTCATTCCGGGATTGCTGCATTCTACTCGTATAGTCACGGATTTCCTTTGTGCTTATCAGCGAAAAGGAGAAGTTAGACTACTGTCAGTCTGTCACTGAGTAGAGGGATTAGCTTAGTTTACTAGTACACTATACAGTCGTTAGCCGGGGCAAGCCACCCGCGTCGTCGTGGCGCTAGGGCGAACGTGCTCGCTGGTAAAGGCTGATTACGGAGGAACCTCCATGCAGAGCAACAACAACTCTAACTTACCACCCGAGGACTTTGCATGGACTTGATGCACAATAGAGGTATTTGTTCCGCTGGACTCTCACGCTCAAGTCGACTGACTGACTGACAAACGTAGCATCCCTAGTGAGCTTAATATACATACCATCGTTCCTCTGCTCTGGATCGCAAGGGCGCATTGCGCCACTTTAAGAAGGATGGTCGATTGCCGTGTTGGGTCTGATTATTGCGACCGATAAGTTGTGGAGTCTTCTTTCTTTTTTATTTCGTTCTCGTTCGATGGGTCTGATGGTAGCTGAAGAACTCCAAAGCCGATCAAGGAGGAACAAGCAATAGCGGCAGTGACCATGACGATCAAATTTCCAGGAATTTTTTTCAGATGTTATGTTGGGTCAGTCTTGCGTTCGTCCCCTCCTCGCTGGCTCATGATTGCTACGAGTAAAAAAGTGCTACTCGTACTACTTCATCATCCACCAGCAGCTTCCTTACAGGCTAGGTATCGTCGATAATGCAGAGTGTCGCTTAAAGACCATTGATAGCGCACGTAGATAGAGTCATCTCATGAGTGTTTCAGGTCATCATCACTGGTCGGAGACGATGGACCTATGACATCCTGCTACCTCCGACTAGCTGCACACTTCAAGGTTGGGCAGTGACAGTACTTCCATCCATCGGCAGGCTTATCCAGCCGGACCAATGCACCTAGACTGTACGGTATGTAAATTACGCCCTAGGGGTAATACCAGATCTGCTCACTATTCCAGCCTTTGCCCAGACGATGTGGGTCTTACTACCGGTGGTATGAAAAGCTACAGTGGTGCTACGTATGAATGATAGCAACACGTGATAATCTCGCCCTTGATGGGTTTCCTGTCTCGCCACTTCGCTCGGTGGGTTTATTATTAGGTTTTCTGGTGAGGGCACTGCATCTGTTTATCCGCTCTCCCAGGTTTGGTACCCACCCGTACCTGAAGCCAAGATACTCATACAAATTGAGTTTGCAGGCGAAGAAGAAAAGCAATGAAGGGTGATGAGGTCTCTTGTAGAACGATCTCAGCTATATGCTCCCAAACAATAGCCATCTTGGGTTGAAAGTCAATATTGTCAAGATGAGGCACAATGGTGGCTGATACCTGAGCTGTGAACAATGGAATTCCCGAACCTGCTGCTGCTGCTGCTGTTGTTGCTAAGCACATACCAACGTACGGCAGGCGAGAAACCAAGAGTCGCGCGTCGGTCTTTCGTAGCCTGCCAGTGGCGGGGCTCCCTCAGATTCCAATAAATTCAGATCGACCACTATGCGACGACCCGGCTCAATAACAACACTTAGCCTTTACATTCTTGGCAACGTGCCATCCAGGCCCCGGGCCCCGGCAGTCCTGGACAACTCAATAATCGACAAATGTTGGCTAATGATAGAATCTGAAATTAAATGATTTGTGTGAAGAAGGGAGGGAAGGAGGAGGGGGGGCAGACGGGGTGTCAAATACATATTAGGTGGAACAGATAGGTCCTTCGGGAGCTTCCTAAACAATGTAAATGAAAAGAGGTCTGGCCCCCCTCCTAGCGGCGAGATGCTAATTTTGTATCGACTTGCCTTGCCTGTGCTGGTGCATCATCGTCATTTTACCTCGCTCCAGTCCCAATTTCCCGCGACGCATCGCCAGCTGCATTCCATCGAAGGGGCGCATTTTCATTTCACTGTCGAATTTCCGCTGTCTGGGTCGCAGTCGGTCATGACAAGAAAGAGAAAGAGTCTACCCCGTCGCTCGCAGTACCGATGTGAATACTCCCTCCGTACTGTCTCTAGAATTCAGTTCAGAGTCAATTGATGATGTATGACGTCGGACGCACTGGAGACTCTGTTCTCAATCCATTCATAGAACTACTATGTAGGTGCTTCCTGGTAGGTGTAGTGTAGGTAGGGCAGCGAAGAATATCTCATTGGATGAAAGTATGAACCACTAGTCATCACTGGGCAGTCACGGTCATGTAAACACTACTAATAGTCCAGTAAATCTCTGGTCTTGGAAGCAGCAGAGACAATTAGACATTTTTGTTTTGGTATGGTGATGGGGAGAGGGGAGAGAGGAGGGGGGGGGGAAAGGGGCTGCTGAGCGAATCAGAAAGGGTTGTCAGGCATGATCATTGGTGAAGTGTTACAAGATGGAGCAGTCTAAGAAGTCCTAGGATGGACTGGTTTCCGGTCAGAAATTCAGAAGAACCGGATTCCTGTGGGTTTGGATCATGCTGGTGGCCGGTTTATTATTCTTTTCCCGCCGCCTTCCCGGTACTTTCGTTACCATGGACACACTCTGGAAGGAGCCAGATTCATTCAGGTACTAAGTAAGTTACTAAGTAAATTGTACCTAGAAGGTACAATTACTTCCGGGATCTCTGTAAGTTACGGTGTAGTGTATGGTTTTTGCTGTGTTCATACACAGTCCGGTAACGTCGCAAGGAGATTCACTCTTCAATTCCCCCCGGTCTCAGGTCCACACCTAAACTAAACTAAACTAAACTAAACCTCGGGGCCACGACTCCTTTCTCGTCCTCCCTGAAAGTCTTCCTTCCCACTTTCTTGGTGGTTTTTCCTTCTTGTTATCCAAGTCTTTCTTTCTTCTCCTCCTCTTCCTCCCACTCGCTCGCTTCTTTCTCTTCCCTTCTCTTCTTCCCTTCTCTTCTCTCTTCCATATCAGAAAGTGCCTGCCTAATCCGCCGCACCAAACAAACCGATTCTTTCCTTCCCTTGAAGGCAATCGCTAAAACAAAACTTGAACAAAAAGCTTCTCCTTCGTTGAAGCTCCCTTCTTCCATTCGTTTATTTATTGTTTCGCTTCCACCCCTTTCCAGCTCTTACGCTTAAGTTGACTACAAAGGGCCACGCCTTGCCCAGACTTCACAAAAATCCACTCTCCAGTCATTGGTAGGTTTCCATGTTTGTTTCCATTGTCCCACTCTCTTCCTGCGTCGCTCAAATAGATCTGCTTGCTTCCGCATCGGCTGTCGAGTGAGCCCGATACTGCATGTCAGAATCTTGCAGCCAGTCTTGGAAGACAGGCTTCTAAAATCACCCACCATCACGATTCTTCCAAGGCTAACGTCAAGTTCTGGATTCGAACAGTCTAAACTCAACTCGAAACAATGGCCATCATCAAATACGCTATTCCCGCCATCGCTGCGGCCCAGGTCGCCCTCGCTGCCAGTGAGTGAATTTCTTCCTGGGTTGCCGAGATGACAGTTGCAATTCTTACTGACCACGAAATCAGGCTGTGGTAGCAGCGGCAGCACCATCAAGATCGCCAGCCAGAGCGATGCCGACAGCTACGCCACTTGCACGAAGCTCACCGGTGACGTTGAGATCAGCGAGAGCTTCTCTGGTGACCTGAGCATCAACGGTCCCTACGAGATCACCGGTGGACTCTCTAGCGATGGCGCCAGCAACCTCACCTCGCTCACCTCCACCAGCCTTGCCACGATCGGTGACACCTTCAAGCTGAACGGTCTGACCACCCTGACCACCCTCAGCTTGACCAACCTGAGCAGCGTCGGTGCCATCTCCTGGACCGCCCTCCCTGAGCTCCAGTCTCTCGACTTCACCAAGGGTGTCTCCGAGGCTGGCGATGTCGAGATCACCAACACCGGTCTGACCAGCTTGGATGGTATCTCTCTCAAGAGCGTCGGCACTTTCGACATCACCGAGAACACCAACCTGAAGACCGTCAACGTCAACGACCTGACCAACGCCACTGGTCTGATCAACTTCGCTGGTAACCTGGACTCTCTCCAGATTATCCTCCCCAACCTTGCCGGTGGTACCAACATGACCTTCCGCAACGTCAGCGCCGTCTCTATCCCCTCCCTCAAGGAGCTGAGCGGACAGCTCGGCTTCTGGGGCAACTCTTTCTCCAACTTCAGCGCTGCCAACCTCACCAGCACTGGCGATCTCGTCTTCGACGACAACTCCGACCTTACCAACATCAGCATGCCCGTTCTCAAGACCGTCAACGGTGGTTTCCAAATTGCCCGTAACGACAAGCTCGAGGAGATCTCTTTCCCCGACCTTGAGACTGTTACTGGTGCCATTGACTTCAGCGGTGAATTCAACTCGTAAGTTGCCTACATTTGCACTTGACTCTATGTGCCTCGACTAACTTGCTTCTAGTGTCTCTCTTCCCGCTCTCGAGGAGGTCAAGGGTGGTTTCAACGTCCAGAGCACCGGTAACCTGACCTGCAGCACCTTCGAGAAGATGCACAGCAACAACGTCATCCGTGGTACCTACAAGTGCACCCAGACCTCCCACCCCACCACCAAGGACGGCTCTTCCGGCACCACCACTTCCACTAGCAGCACCAGCTCCGCTTCTTCCACCTCCAGCGACAGCGCCTCTGTCATGAACATTGTCAACGTCCCCGCCATGGGTGCCGCTGCCATCTTCGGTGCTTTCGTCCAGTACCTTTTGTAAAGGACCTCCGATAGTGATTGTTTGCGTGTGCCGCTTTTGTTAAACCCCTATGATGGTCGTTGTGTGTAAAGTTGCTTAAGGAGCAATTGGTCGTTATTCCCAGTACTCTGCTGTTCTTATGATAATAATTTGAATATTGGGTTGAGCAACATTTGCGCAGCAGTGCTTGCCTTCGAAGAAATGATGGTTTTATTCTTGTGTTTATCCTGCTTAATATGGAGACGCGGCCACGGGCTTGTGGACGGTTCGCCCTTTGACCGCCCGCATCCGATGCTGGGCTGAATTGTGGCCACCGGGCATTCGCCCCAGTGAGCGGTCTCGACGTGTGTTATAGACGTTCCTTTGCTGTTTTACGCTGCTTCGTTGCATGCTAGTGCATTGCTTTTGTACTTGATTAATTCATCGTCCATACTTGAACCTATCGAATCCCCCTCTTTCTTTCTCCAGTAGTTCCAATCTGCGGTGCACTCATGCAGCCCGACAGACCGTGGTGCCAAACTTAATCTCCACCGGAATCATCGAGCGTGCATTGAGCTGCATTCGTATCTGCCTGGCCAGCCCAGACTCTGAATCATATGTATATGGTTGGACGCCTTCATGGGTCCGTCTCTTCGCCGATGCACCATCCTCTGATCCGCCGCGGATGACGATAAGTATCATATGACATATAACTTCCCTTTTTACCCATCCAGGCATACGCCATCTGAGACGTCTGCCCGGAGGGGAAGGGGGTGTTGTCCTCCGACGACGCACGGCTCTCGCAGCCGGCGGGTCGGTCGAAACCTTTGGTCTGCTCAGTGTTCCACTTGCAGAGAATTGTGCATTGCAGACGGAGTCATGGTCTGCTTAGTTCGTGGCAACTGAGATGTGTCAGATGCGCGGGCGAATGGGTGTCTGTGCTAGGAGTATTGGTTGCAGTGTGCTTCACTTTAACCTACTTTGTAAACCTGACTGACGCGGACTATTTAGTTCATATCTGTTTTTATGTTACAAGGTTCTTTCTTCTGGATGTTTGGTCTTTTTTTCATGTCCATTGAGTGGCCCAGAATCAAGATCCGAACAATAGGCGCAATGGGAAAAGAAAGTGAACTGTAGTAGGTAACGTTACCGGTAGTCTGTGACAGTCAACATATACATACATCCACTGCGGCTGTGCCAAAACATGACATGTCATTTGTTTTTTTTTTCTCCCCTCTGGACAATACTACACCTACTACACCCACACAATTGCCTCTTCACGTGGTCTCGAGCCGAGCTCTTGCAAGGAGATGATGTCTCGGAAGATGTCTCAAGGGAGGAGCAATCTACAGTTTGATATCATTCTGGCAGGTTTAGCCGCTCTGTCGGGGCCGATACGATAGTCTTTCTCTCTTTTCCTTCGTTCTACGACAGCAGCAGTAGAAACCCATTTCACCCTAGGCCTTTTCGAGTGGGAGGGAAGAAGAAAGAAGAAAGTCTATTTCAATTCAATCAAACAACGTGCGTAGTGGCTGCTATCCACTCTTGAAGGCTCGTGAACTAATCTCGTACTGTAGATTGTAGATACAACCCCCCCTCCCCAAAAACCAATCTAATCTGTTTGATGATGAGGATCAGAGTCACGAAGAAGAAAACCCCCAACGCCAAAATGACCCAAGGCTGCCCGCTTACCACCAAGCCCGGCACGTGTGGCAGCACTGATGGTTGCAAGTCCTGCTTTTGCCGTTCTCGACCACCTTCCTCTCACAGCGTCCTTCGGTGTTGGGGCCACCACCGCAGACATGGCATTTCCACCTGCCGTTGTACATCCGGAAGGCGCAACTATCCACTGCGCAGAAGCCATCCGAATCATAAAGAGTCTCATTGTAATCATACTTCACGAACTGTCCTTGCGCATTGACGTATGTGCCACGTCGCTGGATCTCCTCGGCCCGCACGGGATGCTTGCCGCACCGTGCCGTGGGAGTGTCTGACCATGGGTCCCCGTTCTGGGCCATGGTGGATGGAGCCTGTCTTTTTATTAGGGGGGGTGTGAATGATGGACCCGTGAGTGTGTAGGTCCGAAAAGCAGCCGAGGATCGGAGGGTGAGGAATTGGTGGAGTTATAGAGGATCGGCTATTCGAATCGGGAAAAGCGAATGGTAGGATGACATGACGGACGATGGACTCCAACAGAGATCAGGCCCTTCTTTAAAACAACGCCGGCTGTGAAGAGGCTTCCGGAGCTTGTCTGACAAGAGGCTAGATATTTCTTCTCCCCCCCCCCTCCTTTCCCCCCTAACCATCGATGACGCAGCGTGTGTGGCTGCTGGCTGGATTGATCGAAAGACTCATGCTTTGTTTGGTTTCGGCACTCTGCACGCGGGTGAGACAAACGGATAGGGGGAGAAAACAAACTAGATCGGTGACCTTGTTGGGCACACTCTTTAGACAGATACTATCCGACTCAAGTCAGTCATGGAACAGTACAGGTCAGCGGTCTGTAGCCGCCCGTCGTAGCACCGGCGATTAAAGAAAGAGCGGAACAAACGGGAGTGAAGAATGGGAAATTGGTGTGCGCACCAGCCATGCGAGAAGCCAGGCAAACAGAAACACGTAGTCACATTCTGGAGAAACACAACCAAAGCTGATCAAAGCATTCACAAGGTACATCATCATAGGGCTTCAAGCCCCTTAATCATAGCCAGCCATCTATGCTTCAGTCCGGTAAACACAAGAATTCGCGGATCGCCTTCAACCCCACAAGATCACCTGCTACTGTTCCCGTTAGCTCTAGGGGCACGTAGTCCTTCGTAAAACCTCCCTCTAGATCTATAATCCAAGCGTCCTGGTTGCTGTCAACCAGAACGTTGTCTGGCTTGACATCTCCCCAGGTCATCCCCCTCTGGTGTAGCGCCATGACAGTTTCATGAATCTGGTCAAACCACTTGTGGCGCACAGCAAGATCCGTCGTCTGCATGTTGTGCCGAACATCCCACAGTGTGGTCTCGTGAGGGATGAACGATACCAGAATTCCCGGACAATGGCTCTCCAACCCTATGAAGCCAGCCAGCTTGGGTACGCGGAGGGAACACCCCTCCAATTCCCGAAGCATTGTGGCCTCGCGTGTAAGCCACTTCCGCCATTTCCCTCTCTTGTAGATGAGCGGCGTGCCGTTGATCTCAACCTTGTATACCCAATTCGGGGCCATCGTCTCCAGAAATCTGGCTGCTGCGAGGTCGTAGCGGGGAAAGCCAGCTGGGATGTCTAGGTCCAGCCAGGGGGTGTTGTCATATCCCGGACCCTGACGAACCATCCAGGCGGGGAGATGGCCCGGCGGAGTGAGGTTGATGAGCGTGGGCAGTCCGTCCTTGGTGGTCACCAAATGCAAGTGGACTTCGGCGCGCAGGAGATGGCTCTCGAGGTCGTCGCCGGTCCAGTCCGCATATGCCTTGAAGAACGGCTGGCACAGTTCCGGCAGCAGGCGTCTCAGGAAGGAAAA